AGGGATGGGCAGAGGGGGACTTAGGGGATGGGAAGGTCAACCTGCAGCCCCCTTTCTCCCCCCGAACATGCTAAACGCAGGAGAGCTCCTCCGTGTCTCAGCTCCTCTCCTCGTGTCCCCCCCACTGGGACGTCACCTCCTGCTTGGAGCATCCTGGTAGCGCCCCGCTGGAGAAGGGCATCTCCTGGGCCCCGGCCGAGCGGCTTCCCCGAGCACCAGGAGGGGATGCTCGGCCCTGCTCTCCCCAGTATCACCTACAGAGACCTTTGCAGCGGGGACTCGCTGCAGCCTTGTTTGCGGGTTCACCGCTATGGATCTGGGTGAAAAACTAAAACAAGTGTGGCAGGAGTGCGTGGGGACAACCGGAATTAACAAGGGGAGGTGGTGGTGATGCAATGCTGTGGGGAAAAACGGGGTCTGGTGGTGAGGGGATGAATGGAAAGGGGATAAATCCTGTGTGTGAGGTCACAGATCCTGCTGGCACGGAGCAAATCCCAGAGCAGGTAGGGGTGGGAGCACTCCGGCAGCAGGATGCACGGCATGTGGCTGCTTTAGGGGAGGGGGGTGGGGGTGTCACGAAGGCTGGTCAAGCGCAGGAGGTTTGGCTGTGCCCATGCTTAGCACAGGGTCAGGGATGTGCTTGCTACCTCCCATTGCTAACAGCCTGGAAGCTGCATGGAATCCCAGCTCTCGGATGCTGCGGTAGCATCCCCCCAGGGACATGATGATGGAGAGCAGCTGGAGCCGTGCAGGGACAGCTTGCAGGTCATTCAGGAGGATGCAGCCGTGGCACAGGGAGAGTGAGGACACAAGGACACACCGTGTCACCCCACAGTGACATAGCCTGGTGCAGGTGGCCTTGTTGCAGCAGGCAGTTTAGCTGTGGCACTGGGGAAGGGTAGCATAGAAATCCCCAGAGTACTGGAAACAGGGTGGGTAGAACAAAAGTTCGTGTGAGCAGAAACTGCAAGGGAAGGGAAATCCTCTGGAAAAGCCTTAAGCCTACCCACAAAGTGCTGAGCTAAGAAATAAGGATGGTAATTCACTCAGCTCTTCACAGGCAGGTTTGGCTCCAGTGTAGGGGCACCCACCCTATGTTCATCGCTGTGGGTTGGTGTGATGTGGGGGAACTTCTTGCACATCCACAGGTCTCTGAGGCTGGAGGAGGCCCACCTTCCATGAGAGCAGTTTAATCCTTCTGAAGGTGCCTGCATTGGTTAGAAAAGGACAAATTGCCCTCTGGTTCAGGATTTATTGCTGGTGGAGTGGCATTGGGTCCTGCCAAAGTAAAGTAAGTTTTATTAGTGCTACAGCTGCCTGTTATGAGACCCAGATCTCTCTCCAAGAAGCTGCTAAGAAACAGGGGCAGTGGTAGGGTGAGAGTGATGCTCCTGTGGGATTAAGAGGTTTGCAGGTGAGGCAGAGCCATGGCCAACTGTCCTCAGCTTTTCTGGAGGGCTTGGACAAACTCATTTGTGCAGAGTATCCTCCCTGGAGGCTCAGGAGAAGCCGTGAAACCCCATGGATAGAGACTGGAGCTACTGATGAGCCTGCTGTTCATTTGTCTGGGGAAAGTTGTGTGGGTAAGGCTGCTCCTCTTCTTAATGTCAGGCAGGGATGGAGGGGGAGCAGAGAAAAAGGTCAGAGGGGGTTTGGAGCAGGCAGGAGGAGGTAGCAGGGTGGTGTGGGGGAATGTGAGATCAACAGAGACAGTCACATTCCCTGTATGAATAGGACTGAAACGTCAGGGAGGTTGAATGGCTGCTTTTCCTCTTCTCCAGGTACCAGGTCATCCCTACAGTTTGCAGAACACTTTTTGGTCTTTGGGTGAGTGATTCATCATCTTCCTCCATGTTAAGTGTGAGAGGTGGGAGTTTTATTACGTGGACCACAGTGGCATATATGCAGCATCACTGGTTCAAAAACCATTCATGTGACCCAGGGAACTGACATAAAAAAATGGAAGGAATAAAACCCCTCAATATTCTGCATTATTTTAACTCTCCTCCAATTTCCTGGGGATCTTCAAAGGTCATGCATGCACGCCCTCAACCATATGGTCTAGGACTACTTTCCTTTCAAATAAAAGGTGGGGTGAATACGAATAATTGCCTGCATTATTGTGGCATCAAGGCTGGCTTCCCCTTGTGCTAAGCACGGGACAAACAGAACAGAAGGATGCTTCCTGCCCCAAAGCAATTATCCCATAATCACGTTAGAAACATGTGGGCTGTAGCATAA